TTTTGTAGTTTATAGAGCTTAATGGGCTTGGAATGTACTACGCTAAGAGCTCGTTTGGCCAAACTGTCAAAAACTGATTATTTTTAAAAATATTTTTTTTATAAGTGTTTTTTTTAAGAATACTTTTGAAAAAAAATAGTTTGTTTTTTATCAATTCATTTAAGAAGTACTTTTTGCATTATTTAATAAATAAATTGTGTTCGACCAACCTTTTTAAAAAGTATTTTTGAGTGTCAAATTACCAAAAAAGATAGTATCAAGGTCTTATAATTATTTTAAATAGAAAAATAAACTTAAATATTTATCGTAAAAGACTTTTATTATTTTTTATTTTATTTAATTAAAATATAAAACATAAAATAAACATATATATTAAATATGTGGATAACCGAGTAATTATTGATTTTAGTGAGAGATTAACAATTAATTAATATAATTGGTGGTTAATTATTGGACCAAAATACATAAGGTGGCAACAAACCCATCTAAGGATTGTGACTCATAAATCACTATGATTAAGTCGCAAGTCTTAAAGAACATGAGTCATACTCATTAATTAAAGAAGAGACACATATTTATTCTTAAAAAAAACATGAGTTCACATAAGCTAGAAAAACTCTAAAGCTCACACTTACGGCCATAATGATTAGAAACCTTTAACCATTTAAACTAAGATAAATTATGTCAATACCAAACTTGATGATATGAACTGTAAAGTTAATAAAGCCTAAACACTCACCCAAAGTAACGAGTATCGTCTGCATAGAGAGTGATTGCTTTCGTTGTGTTCTTATCAGCTATATAAGTTCGTATGGATTTAGAGGGATTGTCTGGAGAACCGGCTCAGGTATGTTAAGATTATTCATTCTTTCTTTTTGGTATGATCTATACGACACAAACGAAATAAGAAAATGTACAACTTCCATAAATGACTCTATTCATAGAAATATTAGAGATGCTTATGTTCTTGATTCCCCATGTGTCATATTATTCTATCATCTGTTCATGGGTCTCAAAAATATGTAAGTTGGTAAAGTTTATTTCATGATATTAATCACAGGCATAATGGTCTTATGACGTACCGAGAGATTGTATTAACGTATTTCATATATATTTCATGCATTTATACATGTACATTGACCCATGACCATGATACCATTATATACGCGTATATATATGTATATATATATACGTATAAGGGATATGAGAAAGGTTATGGCGTTATATACGCACCACCACCTGATCAGTTGGTATACATTGATAGTTTTGCCCACAGTGGCCGAGATGATATGATGGGATGCCCTCAGAGGCTTGATGATGTTACAAACACATGTACCTATGCACGACATGACATTCATACGCATATGCATAACACTATAAGTATTTCATGATTAACAGAGTTATCCAGACTTACATGTTGAGTCACTTACTTCATGTTCTTCCATGTCTTTTATATACTCATTTATGTGCCTTACTTACTCGGTACATTATTCGTATTGACGTCCCTTTTGCCTGGGGACGCTGCGTTTCATGCCCGCAGGTCCCGATAGATAGGATGAGAGCCCTCCAAGTAGGCTATCAGCTCAGTGAAAGGTGTTGGTGCGCTCCATTTGCTCCGGAGTTGCTTCTTTGGTCAGTATAATTAGTACATGTAGTGATTGGAATGCAAGGACCCTGTCACGACCTTTATGATATTATGTATTCTTAGAGGCTTGTAGATAGATGTCATGTATATGAAAGTTTGTATGGCCTTGTCGGCCTATGTTTAGTGTGCGAGCGATCATTTTGGTCTTATAGGCCCATATGTGTTATGTATAAGTTGGTATTACATTTTTATTCTAGTTATCCTACGACAGCCTTTCTGTCTCATTTACTTTTGATAACATGATACGAAAAGATACGTTATATTGGTATTGGTTGAGTAAGGTACCGGGTGCCCGTCACCGCCCATCGGTTTGGGTCGTGACAATAAATATCAATTACTACTTTTAGTAGGATTACTTCCCGAAATTATGTATAACAAAAAAAAATCGATTATCAAATTACTTAAATAAATAAATATGATTATCACACAATTTTTCAATCAAACAAAAATAATATATCAAAAAATATTTTTGAAATAAGAGTGGGTCGGGTTCTAACGGATCGGGTCAGCAGATTTTGGTTGGGTCCGATTGTTAATTATTTAAGAAAGATAAAATAGTGATTCCATTAAACTAAGGATATGAATGAGCAAGTATTGAACGGATTGAGCATATATGTGCCAAACTATTAACGACGAATATATCTGTCCTAATTCGCATAGTTTACTGTCGTATATAATACTCTTCCATTTTAGCAATTACAAATAACGACAGAAGTATTTAGGAACCAAAAAGTGGATAGAGAATAAATTTAAACAATTTACTAAATAATATTGGTAAACCCTTTTCCGTAGAGACAAGCAAACATCAAATGAAAAAGGGTGTGAGTGCTTTGGCAAGTATAAAATACTAAAAGGTGGTGGATGGAGTGGTGAACTAACCACCCAAAATGATAAGGAGACGTGTCTCATTCCATACGCATGCATAATTTTGGTTTGTCAATATTTAAAAGCGGATTTAAGGACTAAAGTCCAGATCTGAAATGCCTATGAAAATCGTAAAAAATGATCTGTAGAGGATGCTTTTGGGTCGATGGTGATTTGCTGTCTCCACCTCCGCAATCCTTCAGGGGATCATCAACCTCATATTTCTCTTGTGCTTTGCTGACATCTGTCTTTATCTGTGTCCTCTTTGACCCCCCACTACTTTCCACTCTTTATAATTTCAAACCTCTTTACAAATCTAATTACCAAAATGCCATGTTCCAAACAACGTTTAAGGTTCTTTTCAGATGTGCTTTATGTTTTGCGCGAATTTCCTTTTGAATTGGTTATGGTTTAACTCGTCTGAATACGATCTAAACACACCTCAACTTATTTGGAGTCGACTGACCTCTAGCCATTGTGCACTCAAGAAGGGATCTTGGGTTATATTTTTCGTGAGAAAGGACACATAAGTATGTTAAAGATGACCGAAGAATTGGAGCCTTCTTAAACACTAAAATATTAACATTAGAAAATAGTTTGAGCAAAATAATACTCCATCCGGTCCACAATAAGTGACCAATTTGGTTAGGACACTCTCATTAAGCAAATACTAAATTCTAAACAAAAATAGCTAGTGTGACTAAACTACCCTTAATTAAATATTGCAGCATAATTTAATGTGAGGAGTAAAAAACTTTTTAGGGACACGTACATAAGAGTAATTTTGGAAAAATAAATTGAATTTTTTCTTGATTATATAAATGGACACTTCTTTTGTACCAAAATAAAAAAGTAAATTAGTCACTTATTGTGGACCGGAGGAATTAATTGGAGTAATGGACACACAAACATTTTTTAAAGTTGTGTTGATGCCCCGATTTTGTTATTCACTCTATGGCCTTTTTCAAATCAGGTTCATGCCTTATTGTGGACCGGAGCGATTATTTTTCTACTTTATATCACCTGTTGACCTTCTTCATGTAACGATGCTCGATATAAAGTAGAAAAATAATCGCTTACCATACTCAGGTTCATGCCTTAGTTTTTGACTATTGTATATCCAAGCTCTTTATACAGTTCGGAAAGGTCATGCTGACTCATGTACCAAAAGTAGCTTTTTCCACTAATTTTTACGGTATTTACATGAAACGGTAGGTGAAAAAAAGTATGATAATAGTCATTTTAAAATATAGAACGATCAATATACTAAAGATGAATTAACACAGTTGAAGTTATTATGACCAAATTAAATAGTGATAGATGCAAACGACATCGAAGATATAAAATGCAATCTATACAGTGTATACATGTTAAAGTAACAGTTTAAAAGATAAAGTTGAGATTCATTCATGACTCACCTCATGGCAAGGATCGAAGACCGAAAGTGCAACTTATGACCCAAGTGTAATCTAATATTGAAGTAATGTCTAAGTTTTGGCAAAATATCTTAAAACCACTCTAAATTTGACACGGATTATTGATTACGGCCTTAAACTATTCGTGGTCTTAATTACCCCCTCAATTTGGCCTTTTGAGAGCCATTACCCCCTGAACGCTGATGTGGCAAAGAGTGTGAGTGCACTCGCCTGCCACGTGAATTTTTCCTGTATATGTAGTAGTTTTTTGAAAAATAAAATATATTTTTACCTTTTTAAGTATGTTACTTCTTTAGATAATTTTTTCCGAATACAATTTATAATAAAACTTGGATAGAACTACATTATTTAGGCTAAATTTTTTTATTCGGCTAAAAATAATAAAATTTTAGTTAATCCTTTTTGAATATGACCTGAAAATAAAGATTTATACAATTGAAATAAATAGCCAAAGCATCTAAAAAGTTATAAAAAATACATAGTTTGAAATTAATTATTTTAGCTATAATTTTTTATATAGCTCTAAATTATGGTNGTCATTGCATCAAAAAAAGAAATTGTACTCTTTTTATAGTTGAAGAAATAAAAATACACAGTTGAAAAAATTGTACACTCTTTTTATTTCTTCTTTTGATGCAATGACTATTTATTTAAATTGTGTATTTTTACTTTTGGGGATCTTCAAGTTAGGAAGACTAAGAATTCTCCCAAAAGTGATCATATGCAAGAAATCATAAATAATATGGTTACCCATATTATACGTCGGTTAACCCGTTTTTTATTCGTATTAAATATAGATCGTATTGGATAATTTATCCGTTTTTATTACCCGTTTTCAATCCGAACAATATCTGACCCGACCCGCTCGTTTGGCCCTTCTATATTGAAGTAATGTCTTAAGTTTTTAAAACACAAGGAGAGTAAATGATGGAAGTGGCAATCCCGTAGTATTTCTGAAAAACAGCACCAAAAACTCAAATACCCCAGTGGCAAATTGAACGTTCCAGCACCTTCAGCAACGTAATATGACTGCAAAAAAAAAAAAAGCATTGGAACACAAAGGGAGTCCACAAACTGAACTTGTGGCTATCGTCCCTTAAACCTGCATTCTCGTCCACTCTCGCACATACACTTCCTTAAATTGCCCTCTCTATCTCTATCTCTATCTCTATCTCTCTCTCTCTCAACGCTTTACTAGCTAACTTTGAGAGAGAGACTCTTTAATTAATTTGTCAACCTTCCATGGCCGCCACCAGAATTTCCTTTACTTCCAGTTCACAAACCATTTATTTCCGTCACAGCCCATTTCTTGGCCCAAATCCGGTTTTCCCAATCTCTTCCTTTTCTCGTAATCTTGGCACAATTCTCAGGTCTAGAAGAAAACCCAGTTTCACAGTTTGCTTTGTTCTGGGGGATGAAAAGTTGAATACTCAATTTGACAAGTTGAATGCTCAATTAGAGACTGGGACAGAGGAGATTGAATTGAAAATTGAGGAGCAGATCTCAGCGACGCGTTTAGCGGAAAAATTGGCTAGGAAAAAATCGGAGAGGTTTACTTATCTTTTGGCTGCGGTTATGTCTAGTTTTGGGATTACTTCCTTGGCTATTATGGCCGTCTATTACAGATTTTCGTGGCAAATGGAGGTATGAAGCACTCCATAATTAATTCCCACTTCACTCTTCTTCTCCTTTTTCTGATTTTTAATTTTTATTTTATTTTTTTATATTCTGTTTGGGTGTAGGGTGGAGAAATGCCTTTAACTGAAATGTTTGGTACATTTGCTCTCTCAGTTGGTGCTGCTGTAAGTTTCTTTTTTTGAACTATGTTTTAGCGTCTGGTAATACATTATCTCCTGTCCATTTCATATAATTGAACTACATTAAAACTTAGACACTAGTATAGTGATTATGAAACAAAACGTACATATAGGAGTATGAATCATTTCAACTAGACTACTTTTAAAGAGTTGTTGCAAGTCATATCGATAAGGAAAAATGTCTAATGTGTTTTATATAAAATTGAAAGAGGAGTAGCAATTAAGGACTAGGAGAGTCATTTATGGTTGACGAAGTTGGATGTTGTTCGAATTTCAGGTAGGAATGGAGTTTTGGGCAAGGTGGGCTCATAGAGCGCTTTGGCACGATTCTCTTTGGCACATGCACGAGGTTTGTGTTTTACTTTCTAATTTGCTTATTTGGAGCTTAAATGCTTATTAAACTATGCTAATTTTATAAAAAAAAATCTCAACTTAATTAAATCCTTTCTCTTACCTTAAATTGTTGCAGTCACACCACAAACCAAGAGAAGGACCTTTCGAGATGAACGATGTGTTTGCCATAGTCAACGCCGTTCCAGCAATAGCCCTCCTCAACTATGGTTTCTTCCATAAAGGCCTCATTCCTGGCCTCTGCTTCGGCGCTGTATGTTTTATTTCACTCACTCTTCAGTATTTAGTGTGGTTTTAATCCTTACCAACAGCGGTCTGGAATATTTTATGCGGATCAGATTACTATCCATGTATAGTATAAAGACTTACTAGTGTAAATACATTGATCAGAAGAGAGGTATAGAGAAAGAAGCCCAACACATTAAGTTGATAAAAAAAAAATGCCTTGTAATGCAGGGGCTAGGGATCACAGTATTTGGGATGGCTTACATGTTCGTTCACGATGGTTTGGTTCACAAGAGATTCCCCGTCGGACCTGTAGCCAATGTACCTTATTTAAGGAAGGTGGCCGCAGCTCATTCGGTAATTAAAGATGCTTTAAACTATAACTATGGCTTATAAAAGATGATCTTAATTAATCTAATCAGAGTTAGCATGATTGTTAAGTAGATATTAATAGTATTAAATTGGTTGGTAAGATTTCCTTAATTCATTTCTTGATATTTGCAGCTCCATCACTCAGAGAAGTTCAATGGTGTCCCATATGGTTTGTTCTTAGGACCAAAGGTGCTCTCTCTACTCTTTTCCACTCCCCACACTTCCCTTCATGTTCATAACCTTTTTAAAAATTACACATGACACTAGGAAATACTAACTAGTGTAATGGTGATTGGTGCAGGAATTGGAAGAAGTAGGGGGGATTGAAGAATTGGAAAAGGAAGTGAACCGAAGGATAAAACTTTCAAGGGGATCATGAATGATTGACCATCTTCGTGGGGAAATTTTTTGATGTATTGAATAGAGAAAATGCAGCTTTATTGATCATGAAATGAAATTTGTATTTACTTAGGCTCTTATTCACTAAGATGATAATAGAGATATATTAGAAATTATTACATGTGCCAAGTCTTGGAGGCTAAGAAGAAAAGCTAATAATTGAATGTCCTCTGGCTCTCTTTTTGTTTTTTTTTGGCACGGCAGAAGAATGATATTTGGAAAATGTAAAATAGACCTGTTGTGTTGGTAGACTTTAGAATTGATTCAAGATGAGTCTTGTCAAAATCAATTAAACTTGTTACGATACCAAATCAAGTTCGAGCAAGCTCAACCAAGTCAAATTAAGTTGAACTCGGTTAGGTATCGCGTTTAGACAATGATTTTCAAATTTATTTTGAAAATTTTGATTTGGGTGAAGTTTGGTTTGAAGATGAAAATGTGTTTGGATAAGTTTTCAAAACATATTTCACCTTTTTTTTTTGAGAAAAACAAGAAACATAACTTATACCAACAAGTTCTAAAAAATATTAAAAATACCCAACATTACCTTTATTAATAACATTCATTATATTATCGCAAACCATAGTCATGAACATAAATAAATTTGGTACAAAATTATTATTTTTATAATGAACTACATAATACGCTATCAGGTGATTGAAAAGACGAAGTAGCATTGTTACAAAATAATAAATGATGAGCTTTTTTATAAAATACAAAAATTTAGAGCAATTTTTAGAAAAATGTAATAGTGATATTTTGGGCCAAGCTGATTTTGGATTTTGTGAATTTATCAAAATAGATAAAATTTATGGCTAAATATGTATTTGCCAACAAAAGAACCCCAAATATATTTCGTCAAAATCTATGGCCAAACGAATTCTTGATAAGCTGAGATAGTCTAACTAAAATACATTGGTGTGGAAGTTTGTTGCACTCCCAATTTTGAGCGTGCTTCATTCGCTATTGCTTGAGTTTGCGTGTGGAATTCCGAGGATGATCAGTGCACGTCAACTACAGAAATATTTGTTTCTCAAGTATGAATAGAAAAGGTGCAATAGCTTTGATAAGACGCACCTTTTGTCAAGGTTTTGATTAGGCGAAATATATAAAGCGTCCCTTTAAGTTTCCTCAACGATCAATTAAATACCTTAATTGAGGTCATTTTCAGCTAGACACTTTATTTATTCACAAAAGAAAATTAATTAAACACCCGGCTATGTCAGCCTCCATCGCGTGAAATACACTCTGTGGACGCGAGTTGCCTACCTAAATTAGGTTTTTCCTTTTTCTTTTCTTAAATAATATGGACCCCACCTAATTTTCACACCTTTCTCCTCCAATTTTTACACCTCTTCCTCTCAATATCAGATTTTTTGCCAAGAGACCATTTTTTCTTCTTCAAACAAACAAGTGAGCCGAACACATTCTAAAACACACACAAGCACACAGTAGCAAATCATTTTTCTTTTGAGAAGCATTTGTGACAACAAAAATTTCATATTTGGATTAAAAAAGAAACGCCAGAATCTATAAAAACATGGCCAGAAGAAGAAGAGGAAGAAAAAAATGGCAAAAAGAAAAAGAAAGAAATTGAAAATATCATCGGTAGTACGAGTTCGATGGAGTCCATTTTACGAGCTATAATCTTGGTGTTCCTATGAACATCATTGTGTAGATGAAGGTGATGGAAGTTGGGGTCAATTGCGTGAGATCGAAAGAGGTTGATTTGGATCGAAAGGAAGAAGATGAATGGGGTGGGATGACGCTGGTTTTGGTCCGGAAGGAAGAAGATGAAGTTAAAGAGGGGGGGGGGGGGGGGGAAGGGTTTTTTCCTTCTTTAAATTTATTTTCTTTTTCTTTTAAATTATGTGTTAAGTTTTAATTACGAATTACACGTGTCGTTCATTGATTGGCTCATTTAACACGTCATTGTCAAGTATAACTTACGCATCTGGTGTGCTGCACTTGAATGTTACTTAAAGTGTTTCAATGATAAATGAGCCAATTAAAATATCTGGCTGATCGTTGACGACAACTTAAAGGGTCGCGTTATATATTTCGCCTTTTGATTATCCTGCTTGGTCTTTCTAAGGTATCATATATTGGAGAACGAAAGATGGAAAAAATATCTATTATACTTCTAACCGACAAAGTTACTCCAAGAAATGATGCTGGGATGTTAGCAAAATTGTTTAAGCAATTAAAAAGTTGACAACTTGATATTGGTGCAGCAATTTCCTACCAAACATTTCATTTTTAAGAACCGTCTTTTATTTGTTGAAAATTTTGAAAAGATAGACACAATTTTTTAAAGATATATCTCGCCCCCCTCTCTCTAATCTCATCTACGTGGCAGAGACAAAATTTTCATTAAAAGAAATCAAAATATAAAGAAATAAACTCACCCAAAAATCAAGGGGTGTCAATATATAGTATATATACATATTTTTTTTAAAAATTACTCAGCTACACAGTATAATCCGACGAACCCTTGGCATGGGCAGATTTAGGGGGCGGAAGGGGATACACCCGAACCTCATTCGTAAAAAAATTACACTATATATATAAAGCAAAATATATTATTTCACCTCTATATATTAAGTTTTAATCCCCTTGCCAAAGCCCAAAATTGAGCTTAGTGGTCAGGGGCTTCAAATCTTTTGTAAGGTCATAGGTTCACTTTCCACTAGCTATAATCTTGTGGCTATGATGATCCAAAGGTTATCTTTTGTTTTAGAATCCGTTTCTGTGTTCCGAGGCCTTGAAAATCTCCTTTTATCTCTTCTCGATTTGCGTGCGCAATCCGCGTGCGATACCAAAAAGCTTTCGTGTGAAAAATTTAAGAAATAATGATTTTTGGCTTAAAAAGAAGATTTTAATTTACTTCGGTCAATATATTGGGTAAATGGATCCGGACCCGTATTCCGACGGTCCCCGGGAGGTCCGTAGTAAAATATGGGACTTGGACGTATGTACAGAATCGAATTCCGAAGTCCCTAGCCCGAGAAATGAATTTTTAAAGAAAATTGTTTACTGGAAAATATAAGGATTTTAGAAATGGAAATAGTGTGTGACATCGTTGGTATCAGGCCCGTATTTTGGTTGCGGAACCCGGTACAAGTTTGATATAATATTTAGATCGTGTCTGTGAAATTTGTGAAAAACGGAGGTGATTTGATGTAATTCGGATCTTTGGTTGAAAAATTAGAAATTTTGAACTACCTTGAGAATTTCATGAGTTTTGGTGTTAAATTCGTTGTTTAAAATGTTATTTTGGCGATTTGATCGCACGAGCAAGTCCGTATGATGTTTTAAGATTTGTGTGCATGTTTGGTTTGGAGCCCCGAGGGCTCGGGTAAATTTTGGATAGGCTACAGAGTGATTTTGAACTTAGGGAATTTGCTAGTATGCTTCAGCAGAGTTGCAGGTCTCTGATCTCGCAACTGCGAGATCAGGCTTCGCATTTGCGAGCTTCACAGACTTGGCAATTGTGAGGCTTTCATCGCAAATGCGAAGGAAGCTGGGCCTGAGCATGTTCGTAATTGCGAACTTTTATTCGCATTTGCGACCAAAAGGTCGCATTTGCGATAGCAACAGAAATGCAGAAGGTTCGCAATTGCGATGCCTTTCTCGCATTTGCGAGCTTCGCAAATACAAAGCTCCAGTCGCAATTGCGACATCTGCAATAGTCAAGTTGGGACTTAGACGGATTTTTCACCCATTTTTCAATTCTCTCAAACCCTAAACCTCCCTAGGCGATTTTCCAAAGGCCCATACTTCTCCAAATCATAGGTAATTGATTTCTAACTCAACTTTTTTCAATCTATCTCATCTTTTTGCAAGATTTCATCACAAATTCTAGTGATTTTCATGGAAAATTGGGTGTTTTTGGGTGAAATTTAGGAATTTTAAAATTTGGGGAATTAGACCCCAAATTGAGGTCGGATTCCAAAATAAATTGCATATCCGGACTCGGGGGTGAATAGGTAATCAGGTTTTGGTCAGAACTTCGGGTTTTGACCAAGCGGGCCCGGGGTCGGTTTTTGACATTTTGGGAAAAATGTTAGAAAATCTATGATTATGCATTGGAATTGGTTTCTTTAGCATTTATTGATGTTATTAAGTTAAGTATGGCTAGATACAAGTGAATTGATGGTGGAATCGAGAGGTAAAGCGGAGGTTGAGCTTTGAAATACCTGTTAGCTTGAGGTAAGTATTTGGTCTAACCTTGACTTGAGGGAATAGGAATCCTCGACTTATTTGCTAAGTGAAATTCCATGTTTGTGGCGTATAGGTGTGGTGACGAGTACCTATGCGCCACCAAATTACCATTTTCAGCTGTTTCCCTTCCCCGTTCCCTATTATACTATTTTCTGTCTTAATTGCTACTTGCTCATAACTGTTTCCATATCTTAACTGCTACTTGCTCATAAATGTTTCCATGCCTAATTACTTCATATTAACTGTTGTTCTCTTTATTGAAGTATTTAATTATTTTATGGTTTTATTTTACTGTTGGCTTATATTGGCTTGTTCGTGCCTTATGGTACACCTTGGTTAGTCTCGCTGAGTAGTTACCCTGGTGAGGTTTCATAATCGTAGTGATATTCCATTGTGTGGATTGCGGTATAAGTATATTGGAGGATTTGAATTAACCTATGAAACATTTGTCTTTATTCATTTGTGATTGGTGTTGATATATATATATATTGGGATCGGGTTGCACACCGCAACAGGAGGAATAAGGGTAAAATGTGATTGTCTGGTGGGATCGGATTGCATGCCGCAACAAGGAGTAATAAGGGTGGACAGGTGGGATCGTGTTGCGTGCCGCAACAGGACAAATAAGGGTGATATGTGTTGATGAGTAATAAGGGTGGACAGGTGGGATCAGGTTGCACGCCACAACAAGGAGAATAAGGGTGAATATTGATACCGTTGTTGTTTATATGATGGGATCGGGATTTGCGCCACATCAGTTGTTGTTATGTGTTCATATCTGATGAGGTCCATTATTGTGATGTTGAAACATTCTTAAGGATTGGTTATAGCTGAATACTAGTAGAACGATTGGGTTTCTGGATTTATTTAATGCCAGTTATTGCTTTATTACATTCTGTATTTCGAGTTAGGCTTGACACTTACTAGTACATGGGGTCGGTTATACTGATACTACACTATCGGAGCTAGTGACTGATCGAGAGATTGGTTGCTGTTGTTGCATTCCGG